TATGAAAGATTCGACTTATATGAGGATAAGAAGGAGAGAACTGGTAACAGATAGAGGACAGGGTATTCCAAATTTAGAATGAGGGGAAAAGATTAATCCATATATAGATTTACCGTGAAGAATAGGAGATCGCTAGAATATAGACAGACCAATAGGTAGATAGATAGATAGATAGATATAGATAGATAGATAGATAGATAGATAGATATAGATAGATAGATAGATAGATAGATAGATAGATAGATAGATATATAGATATAAAGATAAAGAGGGACGGAGAGAGAGAGAGAGAGAGAGAGAGAGAGAGAGAGAGAGAGGGGGGGAGAAAAGCGAAATAGAGAGGTGAACTGAGAGAGGGAACAACAACAGAACGAAATAAAGCAGGAGAGGCCAAAAGAAAAGAGACAGAAAGAGTTAATAAAATCAACGGAGACGAAGAGACAAGAAAAAGAGATAAATAGAATATAGTCGGAAAGACATTGGAGATAGGGAAGTGGAAGATTTGAATCCATGAGGAGAAAGAGATTTGACTTGATGAAGCCCTGCTATCTTCTTCTATTTTCTGTATCCATATACACCCACTTTTTAACGTCTTACAATTTGTCTTCTTTCTCGTAACCTCCCCTTCCCACCCTCCCCTTCCCCCATTTATTTTGAAAAGAGGCATTGAAAAAAAATATGTTTTTCATTTATTAGAAAGAGAAATCGCAGGGTGGACCCGCACATCAAGGCATGGTTTCCATGGTAACGATGAATATTGTTGCCTTCTTGATGGATGGTCACCAGGATGATCACAACCAAGGAGATGAAGATATTCATCGAATAAATGACCCGGAAGATAGTCGACGTAAAACGACAAGAAGAAACTATTAATCTGATTTATTGCAGCAATTCAATCTTTAGAAGTATTGAGAAGAAAAAAAACACGCTGATTGCATAATTTCTTCCAGTGAAATATATCACTATAGGTCTACCCCATCCATTCCCCGTCGCCAAGGATAATTTGCACTTTGTCAGTTTGATACATATTCAAAATATAATCAGTGTTCCGAATTATTTCCTCCTCTCTTTACACGGTCTTCTTGGAGATAATGCGCACTGGTCGTTGAATATGACTGTGTAGAAATCTCACTCTTCTCAATATCCGTTTTCACTATCATTCTCTTGATTTCTCAATTTTGTATTTTATCAAACAAGCTGTCAAGATTTTCAACGTCAAATTACTATCAAGCCCGAGTAGAATTAAACGCATTGCATTAACTGGCACAAAGGCATGCGGGCACAATGATGCTTGGGATCTTGCCAGAATATCTCCCTATCGGTTTCTAAACTGTTTTGCGAGAGAACAAAGCAAGTCAAGATCGGTTTAGACCCTTTATTCTAATCGCCATGTCATTTTGTCATCAAATTACACAATAAAGGCAAAATGCATATTATTGAATACAACCGATTTTACATTGTAGAAAATTTAATCATTCACGCAGAATAATTAAAGGTCAAACTATTTTAGGAAGTGCAGAAAATGGCAGAACGGCGAGGGTGGTTCTTATGTGCAAACCTACGCACAAGAGCTCTCGTGGTGAGAGAGAGAGGATGACTTGGGATTCGTGAGGTGAATACATAATATAGGCCGACAGATGGGGTATGTTATGTTTGTGCGGTTCTCGTTGGAAAGGGAGAAATATGTTCATATAAAAAGGGGCACTTGGTGTAAATTTTCAATGTGACATTTTCGAGGAATTCAGAAGTACAAATAGTAACACATAAAGTTTGAAAGGTCAATCTTCCAAGGACATACTATGATTGGCTTGGAAGTACATGTGAGTTTTAATATTGTAATAAAAAGGCATGACTTGTGATCTATGAAAGGATTTAAGCGTAGCTGAGCTGGGGCACGTTATTTTCTTTTGCCGTAGTACGTTGTGTTACATACAAAATTGCACCCTTAAAAGGCTATTTTCACGTTTAAAGAGATACACTATACGTTTTGCAGTAAATCATGCCATTTGTTTAGTGTCCTTTAATAGATGGGGCACTGCACCACCCCCTCCCCCCCCCCCCCCCCAATCCATCGGTTTTGCTGCGTGGAATACGTTGTTATTGGTCTTTTTGCGGTCAAGTGTGTTTTTTGGTTGACCCCCAAGGGATGACCAAGGGCAATGGGTGAGTGGGTTATTAATTAAATGATATCACACTTCCTATGAGAGAATTAAACCTGTCTTGCCCCTTTTAAAAGATCAATTTAAAACACTTCTTCCATCAGTAACGTAATGGGATTTTATGTTTTTGGGAGCATTTGTCTTTTATGTTACTCTTCACATTTTGTAAGCGCTACGCTACAACTTGTTTTAGCGCTCCTAAATACTCCATGTTATTATCATTATTATGATGAGAAAGCGGACACAATTATATAGAGGGGTGAAGTAAAAGCAAATATGTGAGAGAAAGAAAGTTAGGAAGAGGAAAAGAAGAGTGGAGAGAGAGAGAGAGAGAGAGAGAGAGAGAGAAATGGAGAGACAGATAAAGACAGAGAAAGAAACATGCAGAAAGAGAGAGGGGGAGATATAGATATATAGAAAGAGAGAGAGAGAGAGAGAGAGAGAGAGGGGGGGGGGGGAGAGGGAAAGAGAGACAATGTCTAATATATTTTTGCGGGGATGATTAAGAATAAAATTTGGTTAATCTGAACATGCACACAGCAACTAAATTCAAACGGCGATTATTTTCTGACGTATGCATGTCTAGGAAGATATTCAATTCTCTGAAGAAGATGTTGATTGGCAGTTTCATGAATGTAAGGAAATCAGGAAAAAAACAAAGAGGTTAATATAAAATGATTACCCCCCGCCGTCGATCGTCTTGAACTTTCCCCGTAAACAGCTCATGATGATCAATTGACCAATTTATCAGCGCACGATTGCTCTCAAAGGGGTTCATAGATCATATTTTAGCTTCCGGCGCGACGACGGTCTCGATCTCTTATGGCTGTTTCTGTTAGCGATGTCAGGGAGGGTATTTCTAGATCAAAATGGAGGAATGTGAAGAAATTTAGGTAGTGAAAGGGAACAGGAATGGTAGTAGCCTATGAATATGATGTGCTGTGGACTTGCGTTGGTCCAAGCACTGAAAGGGAGCTTTTGTCGGGGGGGGGGGGGGCGGGGCGACACCTGCCTTACTATAATGGATAAAAATGATTCATTCATGGATGAGAGACAATATCATGGAGTGATTGGAGGGTATGAAGATGTTCGTGTAATTTTTGTTCATGTTGCCCCACCTCCTCCTCTCTCTCTCTTTCTCTCTCACTCTCTCTCTCTCTCTCTTTCTCTCTCTATCAATCTGTCTCATTCTCACTTTCCCATTAACTTTTTGTCATTTGATTCACGGGGCACATGCCGCCCCCTCCCCTTCCCGGTAGCTATACGCCAATTTAACTAAATAGGATCATCGGCGTATCGGGGGTGTTTTAGAATTTTAAAGACACCCTTTATCTGTGTTTTATCTATGCCCCCCCCCTTTTTTTTTTACTCAAGGGGGGGGGGGGTGGATGTTGAGGAAAAAAGGAGTGTTCACTGCTTAAGCATTATACACTGCAATTATAGGTGTGGCGGTCTGAATATTTATTTGCGAGCGAGCGAGCGAAGCAAGCGAGTAAAATTTTAAGATTTGTGTGGCTGCAGACTTGCAGTGCAAACAAAACATCATCTTACAAAGATGAAAAATCAATCCTGATGGAGGTTTAAGCACAACCTAATAATGGAAGGCTGAACAGACCCTAAACAGTGAGCGAGCTTTGGGGTAAATTAAAGAAAAAAGTTGCTCTTAGTCGCTGTCAATTAGGGACACATTTTTGGTGAAAGGAAATGGGCATTTATCAAAAGGGGGAAAAGACACTCATTAGAAAAGAACAACTAAAAGAAAAGGAATGGGCCTATTTAAGAATTACGTGAATATTAAACTGTAAATACGAACGGGCGCCAGTCATAAATCTGACAAAATTGAATTATGATTGGAATATCCCCAAAATAGAAAATAAATCTTTAAAGCGTATCAGATATGGGATGAAAGCTCCTTGGCAGGATAGTCATTATTATGTGAATATTATACGGATGCATTCATCTCACTTAGTATGTCCAGGAAACGATTTGCATCACCTGATAGATTGATGAGAAAAGCGTGGTTTATTTCCGCTATTATCATAATATGATTTATGAGATTCAGCTATAATATTATGAATAATAAGAAGGTCAGTAAAACGATTCGAAGGTAATTGGATGTCCATAACTTAATTGTGGGCCTATATACTTAGTATGTCTTTCTTGCTTATAGGTATACATATCGTAATCATGTTGTGCCTAAAGATGCAGTTTAATTACACATTTATCCACTTATCAACTCTTGCCCATAAAAACAACAAGAAAAGAAATTTAGTAAGTCTAAAGCCTTTTTTATATTCTCATTTACATTTTGAATTAGTCCTTAACTTATAAGTTACTGAGGTACTGAGGAAACGAATTGATTTGATATTATATTGTATGTACTTAATTACGTTTTTTTTAAAATTCATGTGGAATCAACTGAAAGCAAAACTGAGATTGAAACCAACAAATGATGATAATGATTATTATGATGATAATAATACAAACAGCACCAACTCCACCATCAGTAAAAACAACGATCATTACGACAGCAAGGAATTAATGGTATTAATGGTATTATTAATTAGTTGTATTAATGAAAACAACAACAACAAGAAGCCATGGAGAAATTTCAAGCTGCTGATCACTTTGTAATTTTTTCTAACAATGTCTGATATATGCCAATGGTTAAATTATGTATCAATTAATGTTTGTATGTAAATATTCCGATATACCAATTCCTAAGAATTTATGAAAAAAGCATTCTAAACTAGACCTATACCTTTATTATTTTTCTGCGCGTTTGGAATTGGACAACTAGCCCTGTATAGAGGGCGACATTGTTTAAATTGAGAGGACGATCGAGCTCGAGTGACGTTATATTATTATGCGGGAATTCCCACGGCCGATTTCGTAAACAAAAGTCGAAGACAGCTTTTCCATCTCTTGTTCCATTTCTTATCATATATCAATGCGAAAGAAATTTACCTGTATTTTTCTGATGGACAGGAAATAGCATATGAACATCAAGAGTTTCCTTGTAAGTGGTAAAACTTATTAATTGCATTCATGTTTGCGACGTATGGTTGTGACTCGGTCGTGTGACTGTGAGTGAGTGAAACCAAAGCTAAAGCAAAGGTAGACCGAATTTTTCTGTCTCTTTCGTTCGTTAGCCTCTGATTTGGGTAGGTCGGCTCTCTCTTTAGAGCCGACCTACCCAAATCAGAGGCTAACGAACGAAAGAGACAGAAAAATTCGGTCTAAAGCAAAGGGAGCCAGCCCGGTGTGGAACGTGCCCGACGCTGAGCAGCTAGCAGATGCTATAGGACTTGGCCTACGCTCTGCCAAAGTTATGCCTTACGATTAATAAATAGTTCTTTAATTTTAGATTGATTAAGAAATTGGAAATTATATAAAATGACTGCAATTATGATATTCTATTAGGTTGCTCTATGCTTCATTGTCTTCTTAATTGTGCTCAAAATTTGTGCAAGATTACGACTCTGAATTCTGATATCTGTAGACTCTACAAGTACCGGTACAAGTACAACTACAATTTAATTAGAATCTACAAGAATAAATTCAAACTAATCATCAAAGAGTCATGACTGAATTCAGGAACATGCCTTTGTCACTGATGATAATAATAATATTCAGTTCTTGTATAGATTTAGCGCATTTTATATAACATCCCTAGCTAGGCCTATGCGATTCCAAAGAGCTTTGGAAATTATTACCCGTCCCTAGCTTTAGCTCCGTCATGCGTCAGCCGTTATCAGGGCACAGTGCATTTCAAGGAATAATCCTACCAGGTACCCATTTACCTGACCTGGGTTGAGTGTGGCAAACATAGATTAATGTCTTGCCAAAGGACATATAGTGCCTTGTGATCTACAGTACGTACGATGATGTGTCCACTCGACCACGACACCTCTAAGATAAGGACTTGCTTGTTTTTATGTACAATTGTCAATCACGCATTAACATATATATTTTGGCTATGTTAGTTCATGGAAGGGGGTTGAATGAAGAATTCCATATTGGCTTGTTTTTAATGTAGACAAAACTTACACGGTAGTTAATTATGGTATGCTGTCCAGTGTAATTGATTAATAAAATTTGTTTAAACAAAAGATAAGATTCTCAAGAAGATGGAAAAAATCCCATGCTGTAATGAAGAGGAGGTTTGTAATAGTAGGAGGCGGCTAGGAGCAGGAGGTTTGTAAAAATACATGTATGGAGTAGCAGTGTTCCCCAGGAGTTTTTTCTTTATATGTAAGTGTGATTCTTAATTTAACCAGAATTCTTCTTCAATGTACCAGAGGACTTTTGGCGCTTTCAAGAGTTAAATCACTCACCACTTCCATGTATCTCTCTCGCTGTGGAGATGACCTCAAACATGAATGCGTGAACTTTGGCATGATTAAAGGGTACATAAGACCCGAGTATTTTAATTATTCACTGTGACATTTAAATACTAGATCCTCATTAAAGGGGGTGTTCCATGACGAGACTACGCGTCTTTCCCGTGTCCTGACTTGGGTACAATCGAGTATAATGCGACTACGGACGATGCATCACAGTATTCTCGTCTGTGCAACATACGTAAAACCGAAAGCGTGAGGAGAATTTTGGTCTGTTTCACGAACGCTTGTGCGCGCTGACCATTAATCAAGTCTATTCGTTTATGTGCAGTTCTCCAAAAGAAGTTATAGATGGTGTTAACCAGTGCCATGCTACACCCCCTTTAAGAGCTCTGTCTCTTGTATATCTGCCGATAGTCTGCATGTGAATCATTCAACATTCTAAACAAAGTCTAAATCACAAAAATATATCTCTTTTTTTCTTTGATTATTTTAGACCTAGCCATGAAGAGCAATGGCAGAGTTTGGTGAAAGCCCAAGTTGCAGAGACCAAGAACCCACAGATATCATGAAACAGCCTATCAAGAAGCTTGAACCTGCAATCAACAGGTTCACCAAGATCGCAATACCAGTGGACCTAGAAAGGCTTGCCAATCATTGCAGAAACATTCAGAAGGTGCATAACTGTGATTATACTTCATTGTCGATCGCAGATAATTTACATTTTGGGTGATGCGTATATGTGGCAAACATGTAGAAGTCCAAACATGTAGGAGTCCAAACTGTGGGAAATGTAGTCTAAGCTTTGTTGTTTATTGCCGTCGCATTCATTGGCACCCTTCTGATGGGCACATAGTGATACAATGTCGCAATTTGTAGAAACTCTCATAATGTTTTGTAACCATCTACCAGCTACATTCTGCTCCATAAGTACACTCAAGTGTCTTCCATAATAATAACCCCAGTTTAAAGTTGAAGCATGCATTGAGATGGGGGGATTCAATGATTCATAGAAAATTGGTTTAAGTTAATACAGAAATGCAGAGAAGCATCTCAGATCATTGTTGTATTGGTTTAGATTGCAAGTGTTTTGGAAATCACACAGGTTTCAGTAGTTTACAATATAGTCTCCTTTTATGATAGAGTAACCTTGCCTATGCTCTTGTGGAATATTGTCTATCTCTGATATTTCCTATGTCCTCCCATCCCATTCTTCCTTCCTCCCTCCCTTTGCTCTGCAACCCCTATCACCTGGGCAATTCAATTCGTTCAAAAGATAACAAATTGTGTAGAATTTCATCTTGCAATTGTCTTTTGTGTTTTTGTTGTTCAGTTTCAGCAACTACAACAATGGGATAAACTAAGAGTGGAGCAGATTAATGCCAGGAGAACAGTACAAGTAAGTATTGGTTAATCATTCACTATTCTCCAGCAAGTTAAGGTACAAGACCAGCTAGAACATCATTCACAGGTGCTCTAGTAAGACAGGTTATACCCTACTTACTAGCTACAGCTAGCCCATGTATCATCCAACTTGATCTCTCATAGCTCTCAAGGCATCTACAATTATCCATAACCCTGCACGTTGCTGGCTGTACTGTCTTAGCATTACAGTAGCAATTGTGAGACAAGAAGTACTCAAAATTGGCCAGACAGAGATGTCCGTGGATGGGATAAGTGAACTTGATCACTTGGACCCCTGGGTGTCTCTCTTCCCAGTTGACCTGACTAGATATACAGGAGTACCACTAAAGAGGGGTCTCGACCCCCTAATGGGACTCTTTATTAAGAGTACAGTGGGTTAGGGTTGTACTTGGGGTGTGACCTCTATTTAACAACCTATCTGAAGAACATCATTGCTCTTTTATAGCTTTTAAAAGTATCTGAAACTTTCTTCATCTTCATGGATACCTTGGTGTGTGAGACATCATTAGATTATTAAGAAGACATCCAATGTTAAGATAACTGATGCCTTTCGTGAAGGCAAAATCAGGATCTAATTCATTTCAACTCAAATGGCATTATATCCTATCCTATCTTCCTCTTGTTCTACTCTTCTTTTCGTCTTGAAGCAACTCAAAGCCAATGTCCGGGAGATGGAGAAGGTCAGAATGCAGGTCTGTGATGACGACCAGAAGACATTTGATGACCAGGTCGCACCGGTCAAGGAAGAGGTCATCCAAGCTGTAGTAAAGGTCATTGAGCTATGTGGGGTAGAGAGTTCACCGCTAGACCCACCAATCATGACCCAGTCACTCACAGAATCGCTGCTTGGCACTGACGAGGGTCTGCGATCTAGATTTAGACATACAAACTCACTTGAAGGTACGGTATGTATGATAATATAAAGCCACATTATAGAGTTTTTAGTTCGGTGGTAAAACTGGCATATGAGATTATCATTGGCCAGATTTTAGGGATTTTCACCAGTTAATGGGAAAGATGGAATGGGGGTAATAATAATTATAATAATAATAATAGGCATTTCTATAGCGCCGTCTATCTAGAAATTCTATTCCGAGGCGCATTTATAGATGAACTAAAAATGTACTATGCACTATCACTTTCTTTTTTTCCGACCATAGACCTTACATCCGTAAAACTTTTACTTTGGTGCATGTGGAGCCAATTAAAAGAGGCAAAAATGTTGAATCGATCATAATGCACAAATGTAGTATCTCATGTGCTAAAGTTTACAGGAATATTCGAATAAAACTTTTTTTTCCTTTTCCCTCCTACCCCTATACCCACTCTTAGCAAGTAGCCATAGTTCTTCCATGGAGTCCTCGGATGCTATCCCAGAAGACTTAACACAAGAAGCCAGTGAAGTGCATCATCCCCTTCTACACGATGAGCAACAACAACAGCAGCAACAAACTCAAGAAGCTGCGATGCCATCGGAGCAAGTCCAAGAATCATGGGACATGCTGAAAAATGAGCTGGTTGAATTAAACAGCCTCACGCATGAGTTTGCTGCCCAAGTACAGGCAAGTAATTGAACTAATGGATTAATCAAGAGATCCATTTATTATTCATCAATTCTCTCCTCACACCTGTTGTTTCAGTTGGCCATTGTAAACAGTGTCTTGCACTCGACTTTTAATCATGGCTTTAAATAAAAAATTTGAAATGCAGTTAAATGTACTCTTTGAATTATGGGTGGCTGCCCCAAAAAACAAAAACTCTCTGAAAATTAAAGCTTTATTTTTTGTTAAAGGAATTAGTGGATGTGACTATTTTTACCTGCCTCCAATTACCCTGAGCTAGTGGTAATTCTCAAATAAGGTTTAAGCAACAACATGGGAATGGGTGATAGTTCAGGTTCTTGTTGTGATTATATTCTTTCTATTGATTTGTCACTTTTTATATTCTAAACTGTGTTATATCATTTCTAAACTTTATACTAGTGTGAGCCTGTAAGTCCTGTGTTTTGTTGAAAATCATTGCAAGCCTACTTAAAGAAAGTTTATCTTTTTATTTTATTATGTGACATAGGCACAGCAAGAGCAGGTGGACAGTATACAGAACAACATTCAGGTAGCTCAGACAAATATCCAAACTGGTGTGAAACATCTCTTAAAGGTGAGACCTTCTAGAAGTAAAATCAGTGAATTAACAAGGGATGGGTGACGATTAACCCTTTAGCAACCAAACCGCCTGAAACCACCCTTCCTTTTACTCACTGAACTGGCCTAAACTACCCATCCGTTTCCCTCCGTTTAATGCACTGTAGTATCCGTTCTAGGGTCTACCGTGAAAATGTTATACGTACGTAAGCCTTGTGTTTTAAATGATATCCTCTTTCACATCATTATACAATTTAAATGAAAAATAGCGCATGTTTCATATTGTTGAGAACAATGTCAAAATAAGAGCAACATTGCAACATCTTCCAGTGAGTAAGAGGCAATTTTTTTTCAAAATCTCTTGTTGCTAATGGGTTAACAAAGGATGGGTGAAGATTGTGCTGTAAATTTGTGTACCGTACATGGGTTAAGCACATGGTAAAAAGAAGAGTGACTTCTAGTAATGATGAAATAATTCATGAGCTTACTCATTCTTTTTATTTTCGTGTAAAAATGTTATAGTGGCAATGTTGTCATATATCAAATATGGTTAAAAAATAGTTAATCACTGTGGGCCAAAATCCAAAATTATGTCACATGATTACTTTGTATGTAGTCCCATCACCCACTTACCCATATCTTTTGCTATGTGCAGCATGATTATTTCAATTTTGAGAAGAAGAAAAAATTGTTGATATTAGTGATTTGAATGGTGTTGCCAGGAGATTCACTTTTTCAAATCACTTGCTTTTTGATTAAAACAGGCATCTACGTACAAAGCAGCCATGCTACCAATAGGTGGCGCCATTCTAGGAGGAATATGTGGCGGCCCTGTTGGCTTCGTGGCTGGTATGAAGGTCGGTGCGGCCGCTGCCATTGGGGGCGGGGCTATAGGCTTCTTGAGTGGACGCGCCATCAAGAAACGCCAAGACAAGAAGATCCAGATGGAGATGTCGGTTCTCACTAACGGGACTCTAGAGGGCAGTGTGGCAGAATCGAGCAAGGACAAGTGAAAGAAACTAGAAGAATCCTGATGGATGAGCGAAAGGAAACCGCACCGTGTTGGTGAATGGAGCAACCCGAGGCATCATCAAGATGCCATATGGAGACAATACATGCTCTGTAGTCCATGGTGCCGAGATGTGGCTTCCACTTTAGATGGAAATTCAAGTGAACAGAATTTACTCTGGATGCAGCTGACGCATATTAATTAAGCTCTGCACTCTGCAGACATATCTGACATGAATGGTCATTCCAGAAATTGTGTTTTTTTCCTTCTTCTAATGGGTGATGCAAAGAGAGTGCAAATGGGAGAGCAATTGCATTAAATCAATAAAGAAGTTCCTGTGTATAAGACTTGAGGTTAAGTAAGCTATTCACAATCCCTCCTTGTGCGCATGTACACACAAAACAAATTCTTATGCTAGTGCAATGTTTTGAAAGCTAATTATGAAACATGCTCTTGCTGAGTTTGTCTCTTGTTGATGTTGTTCAAATGATACCTGTTGTGTTTAAATTGCAGTGTTGAAGATATTTATGTTATCATATTATTTCCTTTCTTTTTCACAAGAATATGTCATGTAGGCAGGAGACAATTTTTGATGTTTTTTTCTTTAAAAATGGTGCAACTATAATCCCTCAGAAGTGGAGAAAGTACACTTATGCATTGTTCACCAGCTTGAATTCCATTTACAATTACCATTTTGTAAAGCATTGTTTTTGAGCTACCATCAAGTCTGAATAGTATTATTGTTTTTATCAATATACCCTATTTTAACTGGGCTATTTCAGACCAGGTTTTTAATGGGGGGGGGGGGTCAATTTGACCCCCCCCCCTAAGATCTCGGCCGTTTCACAGCCGATCGCCGCGAAAATTTGCATTCATGTCAAGTGAAGTGTATAGAATACTATGGTAATTTCAATTTTTTTGAAAAATTCACTCATTTGCATATTTATGGTAATTGATGCAAATAAGGTCATAAAATTCCCATTTTTGCCCATATATCATACATTATTTATATCTAAGCATTCTTTTTCGATACATATATTTGTTAGACCATTTGGAATAATAATACAACACAAAAAATTGGAAGAGCCAGGTTATTCCTTATGTTATCTCTTGTTTTGATAATTTCTTATGTATTTCATTGTTTTTTAACTTATGTATTTTATTGTTTTTGTTGTTTTTGTTGTTTTATTTCTGTAATAACTACAATTCAACTATTTTGACCCCAAAACAAACACCTAAACTTTAAACAAGACTAAATAACCAATATTTTATCTCTTTTTAGGAAAAATGACATTTCCATATGTTTTGTATACAAATCACAATAATGAGCGATTTTCGGGCTGACATGCGAACATAAAAGGTCACGTGACTTTGTAACTATACGTCCGATTTTTGACAAAATTGTTTTAAAAGATGCGTAAGATTCAAAAGAAAAAAGTCATAAAAGGAAAATTTTATATCTGCCGCGGTTTCGGAGTAGTCGCAAAATTTCTACTGGGGGGGGGGGGGTCAAATTGACCCCCCCCCCCCCCAGTTAACGTAGGGTTAATGCTTCCTGGCAGAAATTTCAATTATTTAAACATATTTGTGGCTTACACCCAGTAAATAAGATTGATTGATCGATCTGTATTGAAAAACAAGCCAGAAAAAATCTTGGAACCAGCACGATTTGAACCTGCCATCTACTGTCCATGGCACAGTCACGATGAACTAGAAACAAATACCCAGACTCTCCTGATTCAATTACAGATCGATCAATCAATCTTATTTACTGGGTGTAAGCCACAAATATGTTTAAATAATATTGTTGTTATGTTTATTTTTTATCATCATTATGTTAAATGCTTTACTTTGTGTTACTAAAAGAAGCTCTGCCGTTCAACCAGAGATGATTTTATGATGCATGTCATCAGAAATTTGTTTTCAGTATTTATCCAAAACTACTAATATCTCATAGAATTTGCTATATTTGAGTGATATTTACTACAGTGTATTAGCATTAGGAGGGTAGTTGGCATTGTGCGGGAACTATTTTACATAAGGTATATGTGCATACAGGGGCGTACGCAGGATTTTTTCAAGGGGGGGGGGGGTTTAAAATCTGGCCCAAAATATTTTGCTCCCGAAAATTTGAAAATCGAGCCGGCCGAAAAGTCGCTCAGTGGGGTTGTAGATAGTTGACTAGAAATTCTTAGCTTTATCCTATCTGAAATATGATTTTAGGTATTCTGTGAACATGTAGCCAATGTAAAGAATAAAGGGGATTTGGAGGGTGGTAAAGAGAGGGGGGGGGGGGGAGTAGAAGGGTTGAGAATACCGGTATATATCTTTTAACCACAGGAGGGCAAGTTATACTGTGACCAAGGTTTGTTTATTTGTGTTTAATTGTGATTAACAATGAGTCTATGCAAATTGTTTTTAATCAATATATGATTTAATTAATAAACATGTGTATCATTAGGCATATTTCTTGTATTTGTAATATTTACAACTTGTCAAATTATTTACTTAGCTAAAATTGAGGATATTCACACACATTTTGTGGTATGGCTCTATAAATTTTTGATTCAGAACCCTGAAGAAAAAACAAATCTGCCCACACTTTTTTACAGTACCATATAGCTCTTGATTTCAGGAATCACTAAGCATAAAATAGCATTAAAATTCTTAAATTGGCAACATGTTGTAAAGTCCAAAATCCATGTTTCTCCTTTATTTGACATAGTTTCTGTCCATGTATATCTTTTTCACATACATGAATTCTTGTTATATAAATGTAGCAATAAAAGATAGGTGCCAGTTTTGCCAATTAAGGACAAAAGTTGACCAATTACCGGTATGTATGTATATACTAATTTCTTTCCTAAACGGGAAAAATGAGCGCAGAGTCTGATGTAGATAGACCAAGCTGGTGGAATACAGGCCAGTGATGGTTAGTTGTTGACTCCCAGACTCGGTACAGACATTGGATTGAGATTAGGGAATACCACTGTTACAAAACGTACTAGAGCTTTAGAGCTCATAAGACCCATCACATCGTAATAGATGGACATCTGGCTAAATGTTGTTCAGATGAATTTATGACAGAACGTTTTGAAAATGATTATTTCCTATTTATTATTGTTGTATACATCAATGTGAATTGGGTTACCAAAGTGCCTGTGTGGATGTGTTTGCACAGAATAAATTTACCAATTCATGTACGTGCATTCTCATTGTGTTCATTTTTGTCTGTTGCAGTTAAGAGGCTTATCATGAACATGCCCCCCCCCCCCAAAAAAAAAAAAAATAATAATAAATAAATAAATAAAAAATAAAAAAAATTAAAAAAATAAGGGGTAAAAAGTAAGGGAAAGGGAGAGACAGACCAAGGGAGAGAGGTACAAAGGAGGGGGCAGAGAGAGATAGAACAGGGCAGAGAGTGGGGAGAAAGGAAGAGAAAGAGAGAGAGAGAGAAGTGGTGTTAATGATGTTCACTCTTTCTTGTAAATCTAGGTGTGGGCCTATAGTTTATTAAAGATTAAATAATAATCTGTACTTTTATCCTTGGAAGATGTGTTCCCCATGTGTTCCCCATTGAGTCCTTAGAGTGTTGTCCAATGACTACATCGAGTCACTGATTGGTGCAGAACAAGAAGGGACCGACAGCTGATCTGACTTGAATGATAAACAATGGTGACATCTAACTATATTATCTCAATGAGGATCCTGTGATCTAATGAAAGAGCGCCATCTCTTGTTATGAAACTATGTCGAACTATGTCGAACTTTGTTGTAATGATCCTTCACGCACCGAAAATGTTGGAAGCCCAAAATTTGCTAAAAGAATTGTGGTTTAAAAAAAATAACTTAAATTGTATAATGATGTGAAAGAGGATGTCTTTAACACACACTTCTGCAAGGAATAAAAAAAAATGTATTTGAAGACGAATATTGATGACAAAATACCATATTTGGGATTTTTGTTGTACGCAGAAAAACAGAGTTTTGTTTTCTTTCATCAATATTCGTTTTCAAACACATTTATTTTGAAATTCCTTGCAGAAGTTTGTGTTGAATGACATCCTTATTTATCATTATACAATTTGGGTGAAATTTTTCCAAGAAATCTTTGGGGCTCCCAATTAATGGGAGTAGAAAACTCAGAAAACATAATGAATCTTCGAGAAAAATCGGACAAGGAATAAAATCACCCCCCCCCCCCTAACCACCCAACGAAATTCTATAGGATAAGGATGTCTAATAATATCACACATGGAAAACTATCCGGTTGTAAACAAAATTAAATATTTAAAATAACATATTTTTTCAGGTATTGCTTATGAAAACATGGGTAGAGATCGTTAAACGATTAACTGCTGTTTTAGTTTTTATTAATTTCAGCTATTTTGGGGGTCGTTTTGGCCCACATTCTACTAAATTAAATCCGACGCGAAGTCTCACGTTTAAACAAAGGGAAACTTAAGGGTTAGGCGACAAGACATGCCTTGGTGGAACTCGAACTTCAAAGCCAGCGTCGGGTTTCAATTTCAGCAGAAAAGGCGACCACGGACTGTTTGTTCAAAGAAAAGGATAGGATGCACAATTTTTCGATACGCATATTGTAACTCGGGAGAGAGAGAGAGAGAGAGAGAGAGAGAGAGAGAGAGAGAGAGAGAGAGAGAGACTAGAGAGAAAGAGACTAGATAGAGGTTTTGAGGGAATGGGATCGGGGGAAGGGAAAGGAAATAGCGAGAGTGTGAGAGATCTGAAAAGTTTCCCAGTTCCTTGTTCATGTTAGCCAAATCAGATAAGGAAAGAGGAAAACTCACCAAAAGAAGAAAATCATAGAAAGTGTTCGGATATGAAGATAAGGAAACATAAAGAGAACAAAATTGAAAAGAGAAGCACTTTTTGTTCATAACACAATCGTTATTCTTTTCCTGCATGAGAGACTAACAAAGTAGGCTAGAATGTTCGTGTGGTGAATATAGTGGTGGAGAAAGAGAAAAAGAAAGAGAGATAGAGAGTAACGAAGAAAGGAAGGAAAGAAGAAAGGAGGAAAGAAGAAAGGAGGAAAGAAAGAAATGAAACGAATCAAGAAAGAAAGAGAAATCAGATGCAAGCAATAAAAGACATGAAATAACAACAGTTCATAAGAAAGAACGGGAACCTTTTTTGTTAAGC